GGATTCTCATCCCCATTATAAAAAACCCTTTTCAACAAAGGGCCACGCACTATACTAGGCCAACCGTGCCTCACCCAACGTGGTTCAGGCTTTTACCCTAAGCATTCATGAGGGACGGACAATGACATCCCAAACAAACCACTTCATCTTCCAACGTCTGCACCCCCAAACTAGCGAGCGCGGATTTTTTGATATTTTTTGGACAAAAAAAAGTATCTATACACCTATCCCCGCCTCTTCGGGCCCACCGGGGGTACATAATAGTTGGGCGGGTCAGACATAGTATAGCTCAGCGGGTTGATTGTCGTTGACTACTTACTCTCTGTGGGTCTATTGTCAGCGAACAGACTGGCAGGGGTCAATTGGGGGCGGACAGGGTGAGGCAGTTGGTGATGGTCAGGCTTTGGGGCAGTTGGGAGCAAGCAGGCTGGCTGGGTGGGCAGTTTCGGGCAAGCAGGCCAGTGGGAGAGGCAGTTGGGGGTGAGAAGGCCGGCAAGGGGGGGAAGTTGGGGGCAAGCAGGCTGGCAGAGTGGTTAGGGGTGATCAGGCAGGCAGGGAGGTGAGAACCAACAGTCCCGGATTATGAGAGTGATGTCGGACTGCCTGTGGGATGGGCCTAAACTGGCAGTTGGACATCCCCCGAGGTGTCCCAGATTGGAGAGGGTGCAGGCTGGGCTGAGGGAACCTGCTCTTTGTGCACAAATTTTGAATACTGGGCCACTAGTCTATATTAATAAAAGGGTAATATGCTAATTAGACCAGGTCAACCAGATATCTCCTGCCATCTGGTCCTCCTTCCGGTCCTCCTTGGTGGGGGCCAAGGCAGAGGTGGTTGGGGGCGATCATGTTGTCAGGCAGAGGCAGTTAGGGTTAACCAGGCAGGCAGTTGGAGGTGTTTAGGAGCGATCAGGCAGGCTGGCAGGCAGGCAGGTGAGCGGTTAGGAGCCAGTGGTCCTGTATTGTGAGAGGGATGTCTGACTAGGATTGGGCCTAAACTGGCAGTCGAACATTCCCTGAGGGGTCCTGGATTGGAGAGGGTGCAGGCCAGACTGAGGGACGCCCCCTCCCATGAACGGATTTCATGCACCTGGCCTCTAGTATTCATATATTGTACGGCGATATCCAACTTCTGGTTTGAGGATGTTTTGTGATTTGAAGTGATCTTGGGACAACCTATTTGATAAGAGTAAAGGGAAAAGTCATATGGTCTGCTGGAGTTCTTATTTTCTGGCAGGAGAAGATTCCCTGCCAAATACAGTTTAAAAGAATGGTGGAAGAGAATGATATAAAATTATGGTTTGTGATATTATGAATATGTCCCATTATACATGGCAAAGCTCTAGCTGTTCAGGCTTCTCAGGCCAGGTTACCCCCTGAGAAAACCACTTTTCCCTCTCCCTACTCTTCTGTTTTCTTCAAAGCACCGATTATTATGTGAAAGTGTCTTGTTCCTGTGTTTCCTTATTGTCTGTTACCTTCCATTGGACTGCAGGTTCCATAAAAGCAGGAATCCCACCTCTTTAGTTTGCTGCTGTTCCCATTGTCTAGAATAGGTGTCCTGTGTGTATAAGTGCTCAGTAAATACGTGTTGAGTGAATGAATGAATGTGAAAACTGTATAAGGAACAGATATCTGAGAGTGAGAAAAATGCATATTCACCCAATTTCAATGGGCCCTCTCTTTTTATTGTAAATTATTTTTAGTACAATTATACATTCATGCTGTGGTGATAACAACCTTTATATTATTTGTATGACTAATTTTCTTAGCTGACTTTTTTATGATGCACAAACAAAAATACTTTAAACAAATGTGGAAGAAGGACAAATTTGATATATTAAACAAAACATTTGAGTATGGATTGACTTGAATCTATTTTAATGTGGAAAAATATTTTTATTTTATTTATTTAATTTCTTTTTTTATTATTTAAAGTATTACATATGTCTCCTTTTCCCCCCAGTGACCCCTCCCGGCCACTCCCATCCCTCAGGACAAGCCCCCACTGCCCCAGTGTCCATGTCCATTGGTTATGCTAATATGCATGCATGTAATTCCTTCAGTTGATTTCTTACTGCCTCCCCTTTCCACCCCCCGCCCCCTTCCCTGCTTCCCTCTGAGGTTTGATGGTTCATTCCATGTTTCTCTGTCTCTGGATCTATTTTTGTTCATTAGTTTATGTTGTTCATTGTACTCCACAAATGAGTGAGATCATGTGATATTCATCTTTCTCTGACTGGCTTATTTCGCTTAGCATAATGCTCTCTAGGTCCATCCTATTTTTATTTTTAACATGGTCTCATAGGGATCTCTCTTTTAAAATAATTTTTACTTATTGATTTTAGAGAGGAAGCAGGGTGTGAGGGGGCGGGGAGGGAGAGAGAGAGGTAAATTTGTTGTTTGACTTACTTATGCATTCATTGGTTGATTCTTGAATGTGCCCTGACCAGAGATCTAACCCGCAACCTTGGCATATTGGGCGGATGCCAACTAAGCTATCCAGTTAGGGCTGGGATCTCTTTCATTTGGTATTAGAGGACAGTACTCACACATGCCTTGTAAGCTACAGTATCTCAGTTTGGTAGACAGACTCTAATTGGCCCCTCATGTCCCCCACTCCTGGTATCCTCCCCATTGTATATCCCCCTCCTTTTGAGTGTCTGTGGGGAATGTGACTTGCTTCTGGCCAATAGACTATAGCAAAGGTGATAAGATGTCACACCTGTGGTTACATTTTGATATTTAAGACACTCTCTAGAGACTCCCTTTGCTGGCTTGAGCCTCCGTGTTGAAACAGCCCACTTGGCAAAGACTTCAGGCAGCCACTAGGACCTGAGGTTGACCCTCAGCTGACATCCAGCAAGAAGCAGATGCTCCTCAGTCCCATAACCACGAGGAAATGAATTTTCTCAGTGGAAGCATGCAACTAGTTTAAAACATTGTCAATCATTTATACCTCAGGGGCCAAGAAGGATTTAAGAAGAGGTTTGCTACTAAGGTAACTGAGCTTGAAGGGGGTGACTACTCCTAGGTAAGGATGGACGTGTAACAGGAAAGCTTGGCTAGATCCAGACTTCCTTAGCTTCACTATTTGCTTAGATCTTGGCCATATACATGTCTCTCTGTACTTCTTGCTTATGTACTTAATATTGGTGAGAATGACCTGGTGGGGAGGTGTGTGTTTACAGGACCCAAGGATGGCATAAGAAGGATGAAACTCAGTCACAGACTCCCTGAGAAGCCCTCTGCATTGATGTTACCCATGGCAACATGTATGCAAAAGCAGAAAAACCAAATCAGGGGCGGTTGGTAGCATAATGGTAACTGAACCTGGGAGAAATTTGCATCCTGCTGGGCCAAGCTCACCTTTCCTCCATAGCCATAGCCAAGCATCTTCCTTTTAAGTGAGCTCTGGCTCAAATGCAGAGCCTGAGGTTTCTTTTCACATCCCCTGAGGAAAAATCAAAAGAGGGACTGTGAGTGGGGGTAGGAAGGAGGCCAAGGACCAAGGTGCAAGGCTGGTGACCAGAGGAGGGGCCAAAATGCAGCCAGCATTCACAGCCCTCTTCATGCTGCTCTTTGTCCTGCTGTGTTTCCTGGGAATCCTGGCCAATGGCTTCATTGTGCTGGTGCTGAGCAGAGAATGGAGGCGGCTTGGGAGGCTGCTCCCTTCTGACATGATCCTCATGAGCTTGGGTGCCTCCCGTTTCTGCCTGCAGTGGATTGGAATGGTGTACAACTTTTACTCCTTCTTCCACCCGGGCGAGTTCAGCAAGGGTCCTGCACAGGAGCTCTTTGGTCTCCAATGGGAATTCCTGAATTCAGCTACTTTCTGGTTCGGTACCTGGCTCAGTGTCCTCTTCTGCATGAAGATTGCTAACCTCACCCACCCGACCTTCCTCTGGCTGAAGTGGAGGTTCCCAAGGTCAGTGCCCTGGCTTCTGCTGGGCTCTCTCCTGATCTCCACTGTCGTCTCCCTGCTCTTCTTCTGGGGAAACTACGCTGTGAATCAAGGTTTCTTCATTAGAGAAGTTTATGAGAATATGACCTACATGGAGAGGGTCAATATGATTGAAATTCACTATTTCCTACCCCTCAAATTGGTCACATTGTCGATTCCTTGCTCTGTTTTTCTGGTTGCAACCTCACTGCTGATTCATTCTTTGAGGAGACACACTCGGAAAATGCGGCAAAGTGCCCATAGCCTGCAAGACGCCAGCACCGAGGCTCACACCAGAGCTCTGAAGTCACTCATCTTCTTCCTCATTCTTTACATTCTGTCTTTCATGTCCCTGATCATTGATACTGTAGGTTTCTTTCTCTCAGAGAATGACTGGTTCTGGCCATGGCAAATTGTAACCTACCTGTGCACATCTCTTCATCCCTTTATCCTCATCCTCAGCAACCTCAGGTTTCGAGAGGTGCTCAGGCCGCTACTTCTGTTTGCCAGGGGCTTCTGGCTGGTCTAGGTGCCGTGGTCTCCTTATTCTCATTCCCAGAAGAGACTCAAGTGAGGATGACAGAACCACGGCCCATTTACATGGAAATATCTTCATAGGTAGATGTCTACTGGATCATTCTGTGGGCTCCTCCTTTGAAAGGAGTGAAGCAGAACAAAATCTGGGAACACTGAGCATGATACCTCTCTTGGGACACCATTAACATAGGGCCCCGTGGGTCCCAGAGAGCCAATATTGTCCAGAAGGTCAGGATACAAAATTTTGTGCTATTCTCTATGTTTGTATATTCTCGTGTTGAGAGAAAGCCTTCAGTTAAATGTCTTAAGTAAGTATACTATCTTATCGTGAAAGCCTAATGGGAAATTAAGAGAAAATATGTCCACAACTGAATTAGGGTGTAAATGGGGAAGCAGCAACCTTCGTGAGGATAAAGTCAAGGTTACTACTAAGGGACAGGTGTGGTAGACAGTGGCTGGGCTGTGAGGTCTAAACGCCCTTCCTTTTGTGGAGATTCTTCCTCGCACCAAGCTTGGGTAATTTGGTTTTAATTTTGTTAAAGCCACTGCAAGGTTTCTTTACACTACCCCCATCTCTTTTTTAATTGGTATTTCCATTGTTCTGAGTTTGATTTTCTCCTCTCTGAAGTCTAAGTGGCAGCCAGACTTTTTCCAGGTTTATTCTCCCCCCTCAAGCAAATGTCACCAAGTCACAGGTGAATAGAATAAACATGTACTTTTGTTCTGAAAAACAAACATTCAAGAATTTCACTTAGTTTGTGTTAAAAAACTATTGAACCTCTTTAATTTTTTAGAAGTAAAATAGTGGTCCTATTAAATCTTTGTTTAAATGTTTTAAAACAGTTTGCTCCAATTACTATGCAATTGTTTTTAGAAATAATTTTGTAGAAAACTTTAAGTAGAGTTGGGTGCCTCTAAGGCAGGCTTAAAAGTTTTTGCTAAAAGGCACCAGTGTGCAAATTTCAGAGACCAACTGGTAACTGGATAAGGAGAAATTTTAATCTCTTGGAGTGAAAATTAGGGTGAATGAGTGGATGCATACTTTGGTGTTGCCACTAATAGCATTCACTAAATGAACATTGATTTTTGAATATTTTATTCTGATTGAGTTATAGAAGAGGAATTGCAGAAGTAGAAAAAAAAATAGTCTTGAGACCTTAGGCTTAATAGCATTTCAGAAATGCTCTACCATTTCATGTTCACCAATAAAGTTTGAAAGTTTCCATATCATCCTGTCCTTCCCAGTATTGAGCATTACAACTTTAAAATAGTTAATTTAATCAAAATAATTTAGCCCTAACTGGTTTGGCTCAGTGGATAGAGCATCGGACTCCGGACTGAAGGGTCCCAGGTTTAATTCCGGTCAAGGGCATGTACCTTGGTTGCGGGCATATCCCCAGTGGGGAGTGTACAGGAGGGAGCTGGTCAATGTTTCTCTCTCATTGATGTTTCTAACTCTCTATCCCTCTCTCCTCCTCTCTGTAAAAAATCAATAAAATATATTATAAAAAATAAAAATAGTTAATTTAATCAAAACAGTCTTGTTTAATGTGCTTTCTTTTTATTACTAGAGCAATTACTGGTAGACGAACGTATTAACTCATGAATTGTTCATGTCTTCTCTCTTTTTATATTGATACTAGTGCATGAATTCGTGCACAGGTGGGATCCCTCAGCCTGGCTGGTGATTGAGGCCTATGGGGGCGCCTGCGGGCAGGGGGAAGGGACCCCAGGAGGTTCGCCTGCCAGCAGCGGGGAGGGACCGTGGGAGGTTGGCTGACCAGAGGTCGGGGCCGCAGGAGGTTTACTGTGAGAGCACATTGAACACCAGGGGGCAGCTCCTATTCTGAGCACCTGCCCCCTGGTGGTGAGTGCATGTCATAGCGACTGGTCGACCAGTTGTAATGTCGCTTAGGCTTTTACATATATATAGATACTAGAGGCTTGGTGCACAAAACTTTGTGCACTTAGTGGGGGGGAATCTCTCAGCCCGGCCTGTGCCCTCTTGCATTCTGGGACCCCTCGGGGATTACCACCTGCAGGCTTAGGCCTGCTCCCCGGGGGATTGGGTCTAAGCTGTCTATCAGACATCCCTCTGGCAGCTCAGCAGCCCTCGGGGGATGTCCACTTGCCAGCAGGGAGCAGACCTAAGCTGCAGTCGGACATCCTTAGCGCTGCTGAGGAGACAGGAGAGGCTCCCACCACCATTGCTGTACTGGAAGCCATCAGCCTGGCTTGTGGCTGAGCAGAGTTCCCCCATGTGGAAGTGCACTGACCACCAGAGGGCATCTCCTGCATTGAGCATCTGCCCCTGGTGGTCAGTGTGTGTCATAGTGACCAGTCATTCCCAGTCTTTCTGCTGTTAGGGTCAGTTTGCATATCACCCTTTTTCTATATAGGATAGAGGCCTGGTGCATGGGTGGGGGCCGGCTGGTTTGCCCTGAAGGGTGTCCTGGATCAGGGTGGGTGTCCCGTTTGGGTGCCTGGCCAGCCTGGGTGAGGGGCTGATGGCTGTTTGCAGCTGGTCACACCCCCTTTAGGGTGGGGGTCCCCACTGGGGTGCCTGGCCAGTCTGGGTGAGGGGCTGAGGGCTGTTTTCAGGCTGGCCGGCGACTGAAGCTTCCAGCCTCTTCTCTTTTCTCTTTTTTTTTTATTCTGGGATCTATTTACCTTCTATAATTGAAACTTCATTTCCATCCCTGGAGCTGAGAGCTGGCTCCTACTCGCTCCAGCCCTGAGGCCACGGGCTGCTGAAAGTAGGTATCTGGGGTTTGTTTAGCTTCTATAATTGAAACTTTGTTGCTTTCGGATCTCAGAGCCGGGCCGCGGCAGGCAGGGAACCTTGGCTTCCTCCATCACTGGAGCAAGCAAGTCTCCTGCTTGTTTCAGCTGCGTGGCTGCCGGCCGCCATCTTGGTTGGGTTAATTTGCATATCACGCTGATTAGACAATGGGAGGCATAGCGAAGGTACGGTCAATTACCATGTTTTTTAATTATTAGATAGGATAGTTTTAATAAGGTAACTTTTACCCATTTCATTTGGAGCAATTTCCTGGCAATTTGTTTGACTTTTAATTTTCCTTAAGATGTTTTTACAAACAAGTTTTGTGTATTTAAAATTAATGATTCTTTGTTATCTCCTTTGCCTGGAAAGTCTTTTCTAATGAAGATCCTAGATTTTTACCTTTATTTTCTTATAGTTTTATAAGTTTTAAGTATCTTGTGTATGTATAAAAGAGTGCATTTAGTTATTGGATTTGTAATAATTATGCATGTGGATTTGTGAAGAACTGACATCCACCTTCTCACCTAGAAGTATGGTCTGTTTTACCAATTATTTAAGCCTTCCTTTAAATCTCTCAGTAAAGATATGTTTTCTTTAAATAGACTCCTTGAACCTGGTATATATTTTTTCACAATTTAGTTTGTGGCTATCTTTGCCTATAGATTTTTCTATTACATTAAATAATTTTTATTCTTCAGGAAAGCTCGCGATTTTCTTGGGTAAATTTAGCTTGTATCTATTGAATTTATTGACCTTCCTCATTTATCAGTGATAACTCAATTAATTCAGGCTTCTTACAAAGAAGTATCTAAAATTGAAGTGACATTCTTGTTTTTTTTTACTTTTAATGGGATTGCCATCAGTTTCTCTGCCATTAAGAATGATTTCTGGGCCCTGGCTGGGCAGCTCAGTTGGTTGGAGCATCTTCCTGATACACCAAGGTTGAGGTTCAGTCCCCAGTCATGGCACATACAGGAATCAACCAATGAATGCATAAATAAATGGAACAACAAATTGATATTTTTTCTCTTTCCCTACCTTCTCCTTCCTTCCCCTCTCTCATTTCCTTTCTCTCTAAAGTCAATCAGTAAATGAAAAATTATTAAAAATAGAATGCTTTTTGTTTTTTTTCAAGTATAGATTGTGTAATATTATTCCCAAGATTTACTTAGTTTTAAAAATCAGGATTTCATATTGAAATTGACAAACACATTTTTAGTATATATTAAGATCATTATATGGAGTCTTAAAGTGTGACCTAGCAGTGATATGCTAATAGAATTTGTATCTTAAGCTGTTCTTGAAGAATTCTGTCCTCTAGAATCTTTCCTAGGGGCTTCACATTGTCTTCCTTACTTAATTTTAAACTCTTCTTTCTTTCACTCTTCCATATCCAATGAGTCAGCTCAGTACCATTTCCACCCCTAAATTAATGAAATCCACCCCCACCTCCCACTGACCCATTGCCCTGCTAGTCCTCACTCTTCTTCACCTAGTTTGTTGGAATGGCTCCCTAACTGGTCCTCCTACGTGCCTCCTTCTTCTTTTTAAATTTAAATTCTTTATTGTTTAAAGCATTATATGAGTCTCTTTTTCCCCGCTTGACCTCTCCCCAGTGCTCCCACTCCTTAGCACATGTCCTCACCCCCCTACTGTCTGTGTCCATTGGTTATGCTCATATGTATGCATATAAATCCTTTGGTTGATCTCTTACCCCTCAACCCCCACTTTCTGTCATAGATTGGACAGTCGGTTTGATGCTTCTATGTCTCTGGTTCTATTTTTGTTCATCATTATATTCCATAAATGAGTGAGATCATGTGATACTTATCTTTCTCTGACTGGCTTATTTCACATAGCATAATGCTCTCCAATTCCATCCATGCTGTTGCAAATGGTAAGAAATCCTTCTTTTTTACAGCAGCATAGTATTCCATTGTGTAGATGTACCAGTTTTCTAATCCACTCATCTGCTGTTGGGCACTTAGGCTGTTTTCAAACCTTAACTATGGTAAATATGCTCCTATGAACATAGGGCTGCATATATCCTTTCTGATTGGTGTTTCTGGTTTCTTGGGATATATTACTAAAAGTGGGATTACTGGGTCAAATGGAAGTTCCATTTTTAATTTTTTGAGGAAATTTCATATTGTTTTTCACAGTGGCTGCACCAGTCTGCATTCCCACCAGCAGTGTAAGAGGATTCCTTTTTGTTCACATCCTCTCCAGCACTTGTCATTTGTTGATGATAGCCATTCTGAACAGGTGTGAGATGGTACCTCATTATCCTTTTGATTTGCACTATCTGCCTTTCTTCTATCCTTTCTCTACTATGAGACTGATTCCCCTCCACGCCCCCGAAACATAAGTTTGATGATATAAGTTCAGTTTTATATATATATATATATATATATATATATATATATATATATATATATATATATATATTTTATTGATTTGGAGACAAAAGGAGAGAGAGAGAGAGAGACAGAAACATCAGTGATGAAAGAGAATCATTGATTGGCTGCCTCCTGCATGCTCCCTACTGGGGATCGAGCCCATAACTGGGCATGTGCCCTTGACTGGAATTGAACTCGGGACCCCTCAGTCCACAGGCTGATGCTCTATTGACTGAGCCAAACCAGCCAGGACTATCAGTTAAGTTTGTAAAGCTGGTCAGTAGGGTCCCATCGCCTTCACTGTGAAGCTGAAACTTTTACGTGACTCATTTCTGGCTTTGATTTTCTTCCTTCAGGTCCCTACGGTTGCCCTTGTTCCAGTCTTATTTTCACTTAATTTTATAGAATCATGATAGGAAG